TAACCAAGAAGAGACAGGATTCAAAGATGCTGAGTCAGAAAAGAAAAAGGAGACATTACAACAGATACCACAAAAATACAAAAGATCATTTGAGGCTACTATGAACCTCTGTGCACAGAAATAAGAAAATCTAAAGGAAATGGGTAAATTTTGGAAACACAACCTCTCAAGCTTGACTCAAGAAGAAATAGAAATCCTGAACAGACCAATAATGTGTAGTGAGATGGAAACAGTAATAGAAGTCTTCCAACAAAATAAAAGCCAGGACCAGATGGATTCACAGCTGAATTCTACCAGACCTATAAAGAGGAACTGGTTGTCAATTCTATTGAAACTGTTCCAAGAGATTGGAACAATACAACAAAAAGAAAAAAACTACAGACCAATATTCCTGATGAACGTAGTTGCAAAAATCCCCAAGAAAATATTAGCAAACCAAATCCAACAGCACATCAAAAGATTGTTCACCATGATCAGATGAGTTTCATCCCAGGGATGTGAGGATGGTTCAACATATGCAAATCAACAAATGTGGTTCACCACATAAATAGAATTAAGAACAAAAACCATATGATCTTCTCAATAGATGCAGAAAAAGCATGCGGTAAAATCTAGCATCACTCCATGATAAAAACCCTCAATAAACTAGGCATAGAAGAAACATACCTCAAAATAATAAAAGCCGTATATGACAAACCCACAGCCAACATCATACTGAATGCGGAAAAGTTTAATGCATTCCCCCTAAGAACTGGAACAAGATAAGTATGCCCACTTTCATCACTTATATTCATCATAATACTGGAAGTCTTAGCCAAAACAATTGGGCAAGAGAAAGAAATAAAGGGCATCCAAATCAGCAAAGAGCCCGTCAAACTATCCCTGTTCACCAGTGATATGACCTTATATGTAGAAAACCCTAAAGAATCCTCCAAAATATTCCTAGAATTGATAAATGAATTCATCTAAATCTCAGGTTACAAAATCAATGTACCCAAATCAATAACATTTCTATATGCTCACAATAGTCCAGCTGAGAATCAAATCAAGAGCTCGATTCCATTTACAGCAACTGTAAAAGAAATAAAATATGTGGAAATATATTTAACCAAGGAGGTGAACTACTTCTACAAGGAGAACCAGAAAACACTAATGAATCATAGATGATACGAAGAAATGGGAAAATATTGTATGCTTATGGATTGGAAGAATCAATATTGTTAAAATGTTCATACTGCCCAAAGTAATTTATAGATGCAATGCAATTCCCATCAAAATATGAACATCATTTTTCACAGAATTAGAAAAAACAATCCAAAATTTCAGATGGAATAAAAAATGAGAGAGAGAAAAAATGGCGGAGTAAAGGTAACCTTCTGGATTCCTGCTCCCAGAAAAAGAGGCGTAGATCTTGGTCTGCTACACACGAATGGATCGCTCTCCCACAAGAACAGTGAGGTGAATCGGTGGAGATTCAGCGTGGGACACACAAAACAGAAAAAAAAAAAAGGTGAACAGGAGATAGGAACGCGAAATTTGGAGAATGCGAGACAGACAATAGAGAGTGGCGCGTGGGACGGCTGTGCCCGCCTGGCCACCAAGTGCAGTGGGATCAGACCCTCAAGAGAAAGTCTTGCTTCCCCACTGACTTCCATGCCCACAAAGACAGGGACCTGTCTAAAGTGGGTGTAGAATCGCAGCAGAAGATGTGGGGCTCTGTGGAGAGGAGACAATAGCGGGAAGCATCTTGAACTCCCTGGAGCTCTGTGCCAGGACTGCACTGGGCGGAGGAGGGGCTGGGCTGAGCTACCGCTGGAAGCAGTTAGAAGACAGGAAACTTGTCTCTGGCACCCAGTGGGTCCAAATCAAGGAGGTGATCACTAAGTAGGGGACTCTAACCTGGAAACGACAGTGGGCGAATAGGCCTGCTCAGGGCGGGTCAGTAAGAGCAAGAGCTCCTGCTGAACAGGCATGAGATTGTGGGAGAGTGACATAAAAGAGACAACGGGGCACCCTGATGACTCAGCTCTCTGATCTGGTGCCTGCCAACCGCTGAACGGTCGCCTCCAGTGCTAGCGCCCTGTGGGCAGGCGGTCGCCATTCTCGAGGTCCACAACCCTGCCACTGCGGTGCGATATGGAGCTGGGCAGCTCCCTCCCCCCAACCAGGAACTCTCGGGACAAGCTCCACCCTTACAGGACCTAAAGTCAACTAGCCAGGCCCGTTTTCGTTGGGTGAATTCTGAATACTTCCCCAGTCGTGGAAGTCTAACGCCTGTGGGACTTACAGATGCTGGGATGCTGGGCCAACTGGGGCACCACTCCTTCCCCCTAGCCAGCATCTTTTGCACCGAAAGTGGTGGGCTCCACCTCTGGAGTTATGGCGAGACATAAAAAGCCACTTTCCCTCTGTGACCAGCATCAATCCGCAGGGCCTTGGCGCTGACCAATAGTTGACAGCCCAGTGACTTTGCTCGTCAGACCGGTTTAGGTCATTCAGTAGGATCACAACTCTGGGGCTGGATTTCCGCCTCCAATCAGCTACCAACAGTGAGGTCCATGGTTAGGGAACAAAAATCCTGGCAAGAGACCAAAATAAGCTCCCCAAGTAACCCCTCCCATCAGGAGCAGCCTCCCAACTGTGGTAGAAGAATCCCGAACAACATATCAGTGGCTCCCTCTAGAGGCAGATCAAGTAACCATAGAAGTGCACACATCCAGGCTGATAGGCAGCACCTGTCATCTGCCTCGCTACCACAACATCCACTGGAGCAGAAAATACACAGGACGTGTTACTTTCCAAACGAAAACTGAAAGGAGAGAAGCAACGGCTCATCGAGATGGGAAGGACTCAACGAAAGATTTCTGGAAGTATAAAGAATCACATGGAAAGCACACCCCCAAAGAGGAACACCAGCTCTCTAGCAACGGACAGTAACCAAATCCAGAATACTAAAATGACAGAAGAAGAATTTCAAACATGGATTGTAAGAAAACTCAATGATATGCAAGAAAAAATGATAACTAACACAAAGAAACCACAAAAAAAAATCCAGGACTTGGAAGAAAAATTCACTAAAGAAATTGAAATATTAAAGAACAATCAAACCGATTTCCTGGAAATGAAGGACTTATTCAGGGAACTACAAAACACAGTAGAAAGCCTCAAGAACAGGGTAGATCAAACAGAAGAAAGAATCTCAGAGATTGAAGACAACTCCTTCCAATTAAATAAGTCAGTCACAGAGATCGAGCTAATCTATAGAGACAGAAAGTAGATCTGTGGTTGTTTAGGGCTTGGGAGATGGGGAGGTTGGGGAAGGAGATGGCTAAGAGGTGTGTGGTGTTTTAGGGGGATGATGAAAATGTTCTAAAATTAATTG